CTTAGCTGTGAAGAGGCGTGTGTTTTCATCCGTGTGTACGAAATGATAACTGCGCCGTTTCGATAACGACGTGTATTCTGAAAGTGAACACTTTGTAGATTTGTTTTATGACCGGTTTGTATTGTTGTGGGCGAAACCCTCTCCTCTCCAATCAACAATCTATCGATACATGAGTTAAAACATCAACGACCTAGACCTTAGGCCGTTTCTTTGTCACCATACACCGTTTGAGAATCGAGAGCTTACCCCAAACTCGCGAGAAAGTCGCCCCTCGCACAGGCAGCTGATTTTATTGATTGACACAGAGTCCATTCTTGGCCAATCAGAAAGCACCGTCAGCCTCTTCAAGTGTCCGTGAGCCGACCGAGTGCCGGGCGAGGGCCGATAAGATTAGCGCCACTGAAATTAAAGACAGTTGCTCGTTAAATTATGTAATAAATTTACTACAAAATTAAACCTTTATAATTTTGAGATATATGTAGTGTGTAGTCAGTTTTTTAGTGGAGAATAATCTGAAACAAGGCTTACGATTGGGTTAATGGACGGAAGTCGGTGTCAAGTAGCCCAGACTTCTGGCATTACAGAAAACACTTGACGCTCACATTCAAGTATTCGCCGTGCTGTTAGCTCATACTGAGCATTTGATTTGATACTAGATCTTAAATCTAGCGAGAAGTAGCGCTTTACGTATGATGCTAATTTGTTACGCTGGCTTTTATTCATAATTAACCACTAAATTTTACAACTCTCTTTTTTAGACGCTCTGGGAATTAAGGAAGAAAACAGATGCCTAAATAAATAGACAAATAGATAGATAGATAGATAGATAGATAGATAGATAGATAGATAGATAGATAGATAGATAGATAGATAGATAGATAGATAGATAGATAGATAGATAGATAGATAGATAGATAGATAGATAGATAGATAGATAGATAGATAGATAGATAGATAGATAGATAGACAGACAGATAGATTGATAGGTTGATTGATTGATTAAACCCCTTCCATTGACCCCACCCCCAGTTTAAAATCAAAACTTTAAAATTTTCATATTCGCCCGGGGTGAACCATCAATTTCGCCTCCCTTGGCTAGTTTATAATTCAGTAATGCAGCTCTGGATAAGCTTATTTTTATTCCACCCTCTTAGGTCGGCGCCCGGGCAGGGCGAAAATACCAGTCCGTCAGACCCAAAAATAAAACGGGGGAGAGGGCTGGGCGGTCCGTTAAGATTGTGTTGCTGTGCACAAAGTACAACATGCACCCCGGCGACTGCCTGACCCGATTGGGCTCCCCTGTGAGAACTATGGCGCCTACATTCGTTTTTTTTTTTTAAGTAATACACTAAAAACACGCTGGATAACAATATTCGTTGACTATATCGAATCAGGCGCGTCCTCCGGCGCCCGACTTGGGGCGATTTGGCGCCCCGGGCTCTCCAGTGAGCACCATGGCACCTACGTCCGTTTTAAAGAGTGCGATAGGCTATGTATACAATAGGTTACTATTGCTGTTAACTAAATCGAATCAGGCGCGTCCTCCGGCGCGCCGCAGCGTACTATTTGGCTCCCCGGGCTTTCCAGTGAGCGAAATGGCGTATACGTTCGTTTAAAAAGCTTACTATTACAGAGTTATTTATATTTATTATTGCAACTTTTATAACATTGATTCTAAAAATAATTTAAAAAATTGCAATGCTCCATTAGCCTACACAGTCTCAGATTGTAAATAAGATAGAGGAAAGATTTGACCTATGTGGTGTTACAATACATGTGGTGTTACATGTGGTGCTACATGAGGTGTTACATGTGGTGCTACATCGGGTGTTACATGTGGTGTTACATGTGGTGCTACATGTAGTGTTACATATGGTGTTACATGTGGTGCTACATGTGGTGCTACATGTGGTGCTACATGTGGTGTTACATGTGGTGCTACATGTGGTGTTACATGTGGTGCTACATGTTTTGCTACATGTGGTGTTACATGTGGTGTTACATGAGGTGTTACATGTGGTGTTACATGTGGTGTTACATGTAGTGTTACATGTGGTGTTACATGTGGTGCTACATGTGGTGTTACATGTGGTGCTACATGTGGTGTTACATGTGGTGTTACATGTGGTGCTACATGTGGTGTTACATGTGGTGCTACACCTGCCGTTACATCTGCTGCTACACCTGCTGCTACATGTGGTGTTACATGTGGTGTTACATGTGGTGTTACATGTGGTGCTACATGTTTTGCTACATGTGGTGTTACATGTGGTGTTACATGTGGTGTTACATGTGGTGTTACATGTGGTGTTACATGTGGTGTTACATGTGGTGCTACATGTGGTGTTACATGTGGTGTTACATGTGGTGTTACATGTGGTGCTACATGTTTTGCTACATGTGGTGTTACATGTGGTGCTACATGTTTTGCTACATGTGGTGTTACATGTGGTGCTACATGTGGTGTTACATGTGGTGTTACATGAGGTGTTACATGTGGTGCTACATCGGGTGTTACATGTGGTGTTACGTGTGGTGCTACATGTGGTGCTACATGTGGTGTTACATGAGGTGTTACATGTGGTGCTACATCGGGTGTTACATGTGGTGTTACATGTGGTGCTACATGTGGTGTTACATGTGGTGTTACATGTGGTGTTACATGTGGTGTTACATGTGGTGCTACATGTGGTGTTACAAGTGGTGCTACACCTGCTGTTACATGTGGTGCTACACCTGCTGCTACATGTGGTGCTACATGTGGTGCTACATGTGTGGTGCTAGATCAGCAGTTTTAACTTATAAACACAAGTCTATAGATTGACCGTTACGTCCGAGGTTTTTCTAGACTGGGAAGGTTTTCACCCTTACCGCAGGGGAGGTAACCAAATAAATAATAAAATTGTTTTCTTAAAATTGGATTATCTTTACTTTATTTGGTTATCGTTTTACTTTCTCGTATATACGAAGTATAGAGAAAGTCTTGTAATCGTGTAAAAAATAATCTCGATTTTTACAAATCTCGACGTTTTACACCAAACTGATACGGAAAAACATAATTTTGCAATCTTGTCCGTATGTCTGTGTGTGTGTGTCTGTCTGTCTGTCTGTGTGTGTGTAAACACCATAACTTGAGTACCGTTACAGCTAGGTTGATGAAATTTCGTATATAAGTATTTTATCCAAATCGTAGATCTGTTTCAACTTTTGAGCGATTTCCGATAACCGGAAGTGGTACGAAGTGGTACTTTTTCTACTTTGAATTTTTCAAAAGCCTATAACTTGAGTACTATTTCAGATAGATACATGAAATTTCACATGTAAGTAAAAGATCTAATTCTCTACCTTCTTTCAAATTTTGAGTAATTTCCGTTGACCGGAAGTACTAATTTACGCTATTTCCGATTTCTCAAAAAACTAATGTAAATTTATAAAGTACTAATAATATTGCGCACTATCATGCACATTTTGTTTTGCCGTTCGCTTGGTGCGCAATTCTTTTTTCTATGAGATTCTAATCTATTTTTAAAAGTTTACGTAATTAAAAATCATGTCTAGGCCCTATATTCCAAGTTATATAAGAATATTCGAGAAAGTTTAGGGGAGATCACTCCCGGTTAATTTTAAAACATTACTAGAGAGCCCCCCCCCCCTCCCCGAAGAAAGTCTACCCCCCCCCCCCCCCCCCCCCCGGAGAAAAAAAAAGTCTGGAAGAAACACTGCTGGTAAAAGTATGTTTTATAAATGGATATCAGGACAAATACAAGGGCGGTTGCAATATAACGCGTGGCGGTGAAGTACAAATGTTTTTTTTTTTTAATTTGGCGATAGAAAACAAATCTAACATGTTTACTAAATTACTAACAGACTGCATATGGATTCTAAATACTAAAATAAATTAATCTAGAAACTATATGCATACTTTATAAGCGGAAATATGTACAATGGAGTAAATTACTTGTTAAATTGTTATCATTATCGTTTTTGAGACGGGTTATTTAAAAAAATTTCCACGCTTAATTAAACTTAAACTTAAAAGCCATGCTTCTGTAAGGCAGGGCCTACTAAACCAGTCTAGGTCTAGGACCCTAGAACAGGGGTCGGCAACCTTTCGATAGGCAAGAGCCATAAGTTACATTTACAATTTTCAAACTTTCCCAGTTTTTAAAGAGCCACAACATTTTTAGTTCAATATTCGGGATTAGAATGCAAGAATCCGGCAGCAGAAGTGAAGTTAAAAAAAAATTGATTAGGATTAGGTAAAAAAAGGTGATTTGTTATTTAAAATAAATAGCTTTAAATATGAAATAATATTTATTCATATAAAACATAGACATGTTTCGCCAGAATAGTAAAATTAGTAATCAAATAATATTATTCTATGACTATCTCAATCCACTTAAGAAGCTGTTAATTTTTATTTATTTTTTTCTTTACGTATCTCCCATAGCCAGTCTAGCCTCAACACGGCAAACGCCGACTAACTGGCTTAGATATCGGTTTGAATAACTTGCATTGTACGCTTCTATCCTTTGGTTCTCACCAGGCTTATCTTCCATCCCACTGAACACAGGGTAAATTCGAACCCCACCGTCCAGTAAAAATGAAATTATATAACTTAATTTTTGCGCAAGGAGCTGGAGAGCCGCATCTGGTTGTCCAAAGAGCCGCATGCGGCTCGCGAGCCGCAGGTTGCCGACCCCTGCCCTAGAATATTAGCTAGGCCTAGGCCTAATATTATTTAGTCGGAAGCAGGTCGCTTACTTACTAAACAATTATAATAATAATAATATGATTACACAAAAATATAGAAATAATATATCATAATAATAAAAATTGAATTTATATTAAGATTACTTATTTTAAAAGGAAATAATTAAGAAAACTTTTTTTTTTAAATGCCGCAATTTGTTTTAGCTGTAAGCGTTCATAGAAAGAAAAAAAACTTGGCGTCAGACTTAAATAAAAATACTAAAATAGAACATGCTCTAGGCCTGGGTCTAAGAAGATCTAGGATCTAGAAACCTAAATCTATATTTAGTTGACAGAAAACCTAAGAGGAGGGGAAATTTTCTCAATATAAGTATTAAGTAAGATTGACTGTATTTACTATTTATAGATCTAGATACTTACTACACTACTTACTACTAGATCCTAGGTCTAGATTGGTAATCTATCGTTTTGGGTACGTAAAATTGCCCGCGATTTGTAATGTGAAAAACAGGTGACTCCTTAAATTTTGATAATTATTTCACATTTTGAGGAGGATTTATGTTTTAAAAAATTCAAAAATGTTTCCTTGATTCATTTATGTACCTGTTTTTAAACAATTGAATTAAAACTTTTCCGTAATAAATGAAGACTAGCGATGTTTCCAACAGATGCAACCATGCTCATTTACTATAGCAGCCATCTTGTCTTAAGTTTTATTTTTATAAGCTTTTAGCGCCAGATTCAGGGGGAAGCCACTCTATTTTACAAATGGCTGCTGTTTATATAGCAAATCTTGCTCTCAGACACTGCTGTTTAAAGTTAATTTCTAGCCTATATCGATATATTTAGCCATAGATTTAGGTTTATTATTCATTTATCTATAATATTTGACACAAAAGTATGACAATATACTTCTATTAAAGCCTTGACAATGAGGTAACGTTTTCGTACATAAATAGCCGCGGGCGATTTTACGTACCCAAAACGATAGATTACCTCTAGATTTTCTACTAGATTCTACAAGTTACTACTACTACTACTAGATCTAGATCAGTGGTTCCCAACCTTTTCCGAGTGGCGACCCCCTTTTATAAAAAGTAAGTGACCCGCGACCCCCATAGAATTAAAAAGCCGGAATTAGTTTGGAAATTAATAAGCACTATAATAAGATTTTCTAGTAGACTTTCAATATGAACTACTCTTAACTGTTTTAATAGCATGAGTAAAATTGCATACTATTCACAAAACCTTCGTGGCTAAGTTTTTAATTTAATTTAAAAAAATTTTTGTTAACGCCAACCTATGTCATTATAATTATCTTAATTTTGTTTTAATCGAAGAATAGTGTTGAAAAATTATTCTCGAAAAGTCAATCAATTTTACGTTTAGGTATGAATGGTGAATACTACAACAAAATTGTATATGCAGATTTTCATCTTACTCGGAATCATTCTGCAAATCAAAGAATTCATCTTGTAATTCATCGGGAATGCTGGCAACATCAACGGACGAAGAGAATGGGAAATGCCTAAATGCAGATTCTTCTTTTTTCAGCTCAGAGAATTAGCGATGCAGTTCGTTTTCAAGAGATTCAAGATGCCCAGAAATCGCTTCTTTCAAAATTTTAATTATCTCACAATCAGATTCATCTACCACACCGCAGAGTTTCTCAAATTTACAATATGTCCAAGATCTATTTTCTTTACCGATTTTGAAACTTTGATAAAAATGCCCCGAGATTATCATGGAAAGTTATAATATTCGTTCATTTTCCCTAAAGCTTCATGTTAAGCTTATCTTGAAAACATCTGCTAGGTATGATACTCTCTCCAACCACTCTATGTCGTTTTAAGTATACCAAAAAGTCTTGTTTCCTTTGCACTTCCAAGAACAATTTGATTTCAGATTCCAATTCAACAACACAATTTACAACATTTCGTCTGACAGCCAGCGTACTGTAGTGTAGAAGAGCAGAACTTCGTGATCTATATTAATGTTTTGATGTCGATTGGTTAGGGCAGTGGCTAGGGAGCTAAATCTTTTCTGTTTTCTGAAAGCCCGATTGTTAGCTAAACATAGATGGCGCGCCATCCTTACAAACCTCCACAGCCGTTCTAACCCATTTTACTCATCCAGTTTCAAAAAAGGTATTTATTTTCTCCATGCTATCTTCCTAAAAGAGCAACTCTTCTTTGCTATCATCCGCATGAATATAGACACAGACCAGCAACTGCGAACACGAACTCACGTCTGTTGATTTATCAACTTGAAAAGCAAACGATGGTGAAAGCTTAATTTCAATAAAAAATGTGTTATTTAACATTTACGTACATGCAGCATTTGATGAGATTTTCTTCTATTGTTTTTTTTTTTTTTTTTGCTTGGCATTTTCTATCGCGACTTCATTTGATGCTTGCACTAATGCTGGTGAAAACTTCCTGTTCGATCAAGTCTCTGGCGTTTGCAACTAGCTTCTTACCGACGAAAGAACTCCATATATTTTTTGTGTGTTCCGAATGACTCGTCTCAAATGACGTTTTAGTTTTGAAGATTTCGTTACTGAGAACAACTTTGTACAGTGCGCTTTGTTTCTTCTCTATTACATTTCCAGTGATGTTAATGAAGCCGAATTTCAAAAATTCTTCTAAATATTGATGTTTTGTTTCAAATTACTAAGGTTTAGTATAGCAGTTGGCGACCCCCCAGATAGACCTTCGCGACCCCCAGGGGGGTCGCGACCCCCAGGTTGGGAACCCGTGATCTAGATTCTCTAGATCTACTAACTAGATCTAGAGAATCTAGAATAAAAAAGAATCTAGTCTAGATCTAGATTAGATCTTGATTCTATTCTAGATCTAGTAAGTAAGCCCTCATATTATTAATAATTTAATAGGCCTAGAATCTATCTAGTCTAGATTTATAAAAATATCAATCTATCCGATTAGGTGAATAGAAAAAAAGTTACAAAGGAAAAAAAGAGGTACTGAAATAAAGTCACAGAAGAAAAGAAAGTCACAAAAATCTTTTAAGAAATATTTTGATTTAGATCTAGAGATCTAGATTAGGCCTAATTATTAATTAACTTCTTCTTCTTCGTTCTTAATTTTTAGTGTTGGGAGGGATCAAGCCTTATCTGCTAGACTAGAGGGTTGAACTCGAGACTTTTTTTTTTCGAATTTATCAACCATGAGCTTTGCCGACTCGACCATGCTTCCATCACAATTAAGGTCCTTAATTGTGATGGAAGCACGTGTCAACTGGTTATGCGCCATTGAGGCCATTGACTCCGATTTCAGCCTGCTTTTCTTTTTGGATTTGCTTCCATAGCCTTTGTCCAACCAAGAACAAACTACAAGGCAGCAGTTGTTTGATTTTGGAGTTGTCTCTCCTAGAAGAGTGGCTGTCCCCAGCTAACGAGCCTCATCTGCCCGCGCCTAATTAACTAATTACTACCTGTTTAGAATTGTACAATTTTTGGTGTTTATTGATGTGGGTTGTTTTTGTTTTGATACCATATTTAAAATTATTTATAAACGTAAAAGCATTATGGTTTATAACAATAATATGTAAAAAAAAAATAATATGACTGATTATGACTTAATTTACACAGCAACCTAAACTTTTGTTTTGCTGAAAAATTAATTACAAAACAAATTTTGGCACATCATTGTGCTTTGCATATTTGTTTGCCGTTGGCCATTCCTTAGTCTGCTTCTCCTCAGTCTGCTTCTCCTCAGTCTGCCTTGGCCATCCATATTGTGGTCACTTTCAGAATTATCTGAAATTTTCTTATCATTCTAACTAAAAAAAATCTCCAACACTCAGGTTAAGACAGGTGACAATGCCACTTCCCCACAGTCCGACCTTAGAAGGATTTGGGTGTGGTGGTGCTAGTGGATTTGTCAGTCACAAGAGAAAACTAGAGAGTTGTGCAGACCTGGCTCCTTTAGCTGACTACAAGGTGAGACATTTTTTAGCTATTTGGTGGGGTGAGGAGTAAATTGATGATCATTTTATCCATTGCTCAATATTTTTTAGGGTCAGGGCAAAGTAACCTTGTGTAAAAGGAAATGTATCTGGCCACCTCTGGCCTCCCAATGTGTCCAGACACCAGAAGCAGAGGTGAGAGGATTCTTTACTGCTACTACTGATCTATAATACCTAAATTTGAAATGAATATTTTCCTCAGCTGATGAAGCTACATACCTTACTTTACAAACTTAAAAAGCATCTACATTTCATGACTTGTTTCTACACATACTACTGAGTATTTTTAACCTTTTCACATATGAAGCCCTTTATTTTTTTTTTCATTTTTTTATGTGTAGCTTTTTTTTAATGTATGCATAACTATTTTCTTACTAAACAATACATTCGTACATGTTTATGTTTTAAATCAAATATATTTTTTAGCTATAAATTATACATTTACTATTTTTGCTTTAGAATGCTTTAATACTTAATGTAGGATTCTAATTTTTGTAGCAATTTTTTATTTGTTAGGACATGTTGCCTGGTTGTTTAAAAGATATCCCATCCTCACCCTCATCATCACCCATGTCACTCCCAGCTCCCCTCCCACGAAACATGGCCAGCAACAATTTAGCCCAACATTTTTTGTCTCGCATCCAGCAGCGTCTAGAACCTGAGACAAACAACAACACACCTACTGGCCGCCTGGAACAGGTAAAGTACCCACCTTCTGTCAAGCTTTCATTTAGCCTGCAACATGCACACCTGTAGTCATTCCTAAAGTGGGCAATGCTAGTATCATGAATATGAGACTTAGTTAACTAGTTGTAATTGTATCCCTACACTGTGGAACTACTTTTTCTCTAGTGTGAAGACATGGAGGAAGACACGATGGATCTAGACAACTGTGACAGCAATGGCTTCACAAGGTAATTTTTTCACACTTTCACATGCATAATTTTTTCACACACTTTCACATGGGTAATGTTTTCACTTATTTTCTCAGAAAATATTTTCACAAGGTAATATTTGTACAAGGTCATATTTTCTTCCTTTGGGTGATATTTTCCTACTTTGGGTGATATTTTCCTACTTTGGGTGATATTTTCCTACTTTGGGTGATATTTTGACCTGTCTGACCATAAACCAAACTGAGGCAACATTGATTTACTATTTGCAAAATTGAATTAGCATGTGTCTGAAACCAATCCATTGAGATGTATTCAGTTAAATTTGTTAAGTAATATTGTACAGTGGTACCTCTAGATACGAGTTAAATTTGTTAAGTAACATTGTACAGTGGTACCTCTAGATAAGAGTTAAATTTGTTCCATAACATTGTACAGTGGTACCTCTAGATAAGAGTTTAATTTGTTAAGTAACATTGTACAGTGGTACCTCTAGATAAGAGTTACATTTGTTCCATAACATTGTACAGTGGTACCTCTAGATAAGAGTTTAATTTGTTAAGTAACATTGTACAGTGGTACCTCTAGATAAGAGTTTAATTTGTTAAGTAACATTGTACAGTGGTACCTCTAGATAAGAGTTACATTTGTTCCATAACATTGTACAGTGGTACCTCTAGATAAGAGTTTAATTTGTTAAGTAACATTGTACAGTGGTACCTCTAGATAAGAGTTTAATTTGTTAAGTAACATTGTACAGTGGTACCTCTAGATATAATTTCAATTTGTTCCATAACATTGCACATATGTCAAATCGTCTGTGTCTCAAAGCAGTTTTCCCTATTGAACCTTATTGAAATACCATTAATCCATACCAGCCCGATCTATGCCACCCCAGTTGTTTTTTGTTCCAAGTTTTTTTAATATTAAATAACTGGTTATACATGACAAATACTGTTTTATAACATAATAAAGTATAATGCAAAGAAATAAACTGATTTTATAAAGTAAATTTTCCTTGAAAATCCTCTTGAGCTAATGGAAGATGCTGGCCTGGGGAGGAGCTTCATTTGTTTACCTAATTCACTTACTCTTTATTTTGTTCACCTAATTCACTTACTCGTTATTTTGTTCACCTAATTCACTTACTGTCTTTTTTGTTCACCTAATTCACTTACTCGTTATTTTGTGTTCACCTAATTCACTTACTCGTTATTTTGTTCACCTAATTCACTTACTCGTTATTTTGTTCACCTAATTCACTTACTCGTTATTTTGTTCACCTAATTCACTTACTCGTTATTTTGTTCACCTAATTCACTTACTGGTTATTTTGTTCACCTAATTCACTTACTCGTTATTTTGTTCACCTAATTCACTTACTCGTTGCACTCTTAACACAACTCCATCAAACACCATTGAACCTAAATGTTACTATAGAATGTTTAGTTACTTAATTCTCGTCACTGCTTGTCTCTACCTGGTTTTTGCTTTATTTGCAACATTTTCCTTTCTTTTCTACGCAAGCCTTCCTTTCAGAATGTTTGGGAAATAAATTAGGTAATTATCACTAAATAGCTCCAATGCACAATCAGTTTGAACTTCTTTTAGGGTGTTTCTTTGCCATTAACTGTTAAATCTACTAATACAGTTTACTTGTATCAAATTTTGCTTAAATCAAATTTGTGCTAGCTCAACAGCTCGTATCTGAAGGTACCAGTACCACTGTATTTTGCTTAAATCAACTTTGTGCTAGCTCAACAGCTCGTATCTGATGGTACCACTGTATTTTGCTTAAATCAAATTTGTGCTGGCTCAACAGCTCGTATCTGAAGGTACCACTGTATTTTGCTTAAATCAAATTTGTGCTAGCTCAACAGCTCGTATCTGAAGGTACCACTGTATTTTGCTTAAATCAAATTTGTGCTGGCTCAACAGCTCGTATCTGAAGGTACCACTGTATTTTGCTTAAATCAAATTTGTGCTAGCTCAACAGCTCGTATCTGATGGTACCACTGTATTTTGCTGTCTTAAAAAGTGTCTTGATTTTGTTTTGTATTTTACAGCTGCTATGAAAACAATAATGACCTTGACCCAGCCAGCCTCTCTATGGATTCTGATTTTGTTCCTGATGCCTCACAGTATGCTCGCATCTCCTCCCCACAGAACATCACCCACACGGAAGCTGACCAGAGGTGTACCCACACAGAAGCTGACCAGAGGTGTGGATATTTTTCCTGCAGGTATATGGCCCTGGCAAATTAGACCCTGAGAAATAGCACCCTGTGAACAGAACCCTTGACATTGTGGCTTCTCTCAAAAAGCCCATACAGTAATTCTAAGAATCATCCGGTGCCGGTTGGAGGGCTGGTCAAGTAGCAGTGGGATGGCAGTTTTATGTGGAGGGGGGGGGGGGGGTCAGTTGTTGTCTAGATAGGACTAGAAACTTGTTGTAGTTGGTCAAGACAGATGGACGCAGACAAAAGTAGATGGGGCTCATTTGTCAAGGGCCATGTTCAAACAGTAATTGTGTCCAAAACTAACTATCATATCTAATGTCTGCCTCTACAAAATTAACTGACATCATATCTAATATCTGCCTCTACAAAACTAAATGAACTGACATCATATCTAATGTCTACCTCTACAAAACTAAATGAACTATCATCATATCTAATGTCTGCCTCTACAAAATTAACTGACATCATATCTAATATCTGCCTCTACAAAACTAAATGAACTGACATCATATCTAATGTCTACCTCTACAAAACTAAATGAACTATCATCATATCTAATGTCTACCTCTACAAAACTAACTGAACTGACATCATATCTAATGTCTACCTCTACAAAACTAACTGAACTGACATCATATCTAATGTCTACCTCTACAAAACTAACTGAACTGACATCATATCTAATGTCTGCCTCTACAAAATTAACTGTTATCATATCTAATGTCTACCTCTACAAAACTAACTGAACTGACATCATATCTAATGTCTGCCTCTACAAAATTAACTGACATCATATCTAATGTCTACCTCTACAAAACTAAATGAACTATCATCATATCTAATGTCACCATCTACAAAACTAAATGAACTGACATCATATCTAATGTCTACCTCTACAAAACTAACTGAACTGACATCATATCTAATGTCTACCTCTACAAAACTAACTATCATCATATCTAATGTCTACCTCTACAAAACTAAATGAACTATCATCATATCTAATGTCTACCTCTACAAAACTAACTGAACTGACATCATATCTAATGTCTACCTCTACAAAACTAACTGAACTGACATCATATCTAATGTCTGCCTCTACAAAATTAACTGACATCATATCTAATGTCTACCTCTACAAAACTAAATGAACTATCATCATATTTAATGTCTCCCTCTACAAAACTAAATGAACTATCATCATATCTAATGTCTGCCTCTACAAAATTAACTGACATCATATCTAATGTCTACCTCTACAAAACTAACTATCATCATATCTAATGTCACCATCTACAAAACTAAATGAACTATCATCATATCTAATGTCTGCCTCTACAAAATTAACTGACATCATATCTAATGTCTACCTCTACAAAACTAAATGAACTATCATCATATCTAATGTCTACCTCTACAAAACTAACTATCATCATATCTAATGTCTACCTCTACAAAACTAACTATCATCATATCTAATGTCTCCCTCTACAAAACTAAATGAACTATCATCATATCTAATGTCTACCTCTACAAAACTAACTATCATCATATCTAATGTCTACCTCTACAAAACTAACTATCATCATATCTAATGTCTCCCTCTACAAAACTAAATGAACTATCATCATATCTAATGTCTCCCTCTACAAAACTAAATGAACTATCATCATATTTAATGTCTACCTCTACAAAACTAACTATCATCATATCTAATGTCTACCTCTACAAAACTAACTATCATCATATATAATGTCTCCCTCTACTAAACTAAATGAACTATCAACATACCACATCATTCAGTGTCCAAGGGCCCAATGCCCCCCCCCCCCCCCCCCCCCGCACATCTTTAATCAGTGGGCTTGATATAGCAGTTATTTATACTTCACACCTAGGTTTCACTCATCATACATGGGTAGAGGACATTAATCCACCCCCCCCCCCTAAAATACCAGTTCTCTGTGATACTGGTCAAATGAGACACAGCACTTATAAATGCCTGGACATTCAGCAGACAAAATTAAATATACACACACTTTTTACCATAACATTTTCTTTCAGTGGTCTAAAGCCTAACATTGTCTTTCAGTGGTCTAAAGCCTTACATTTTCTTTCAGTGGTCTAAAGCCTAACATTGTCTTTCAGTGGTCTAAAGCCTAACATTGTCTTTCAGTGGTCTAAAGCCTAACATTTTCTTTCAGTGGTCTAAAGCCTAACATTTTCTTTCAGTGGTCTAAAGCCTAACATTTTCTTTCAGTGGTCTAAAACCTAGCATTTACTTTCAGTGGTCTAAAGCCTAGCATTTTCTTTCTAAAGCCTAACATTTTCTTTCAGTGGTCTAAAGCCTAACATTTTCTTTCTGTGGTCTAAAGCCTAACATTTTCTTTCAGTGGTCTAAAGCCTAACATTTTCTTTCAGTGTTCTAAAGCTTAACATTTTCTTTCTAAAGCCTAACATTTTCTTTCAGTGGTCTAAAACCTAGCATTTACTTTCAGTGGTCTAAAGCCTAGCATTTTCTTTCAGTGGTCTAAAGCCTAGCATTTTCTTTCAGTGGTCTAAAACCCTAACATTTTCTTTCAGTGGTCTAAAGCCTAACATTTTCTTTCAGTGGTCTAAAGCCTAACATTTTCTTTCAGTGGTCTAAAGCCTAACATTTTCTTTCAGTGGTCTAAAGCCTAGCCCAGTCTCAGGACGACTACACTGTCACTGCTCAGCTTCATGGAGGGGAATGTATGGCATAGACAATGGCTACATCACTGACTACTATTGAGGGTAACTGCAACACACAGGGTAGCCGCAACACACAGGGTAGCCGCAACACACAGGGTAGCCGCAAAGTCTGGTTTGTTGGCACCTAACAAGGATTTTCTGTGCTGCATAGATCTGATGATAATCTGACTAGATACTTAAAGTCATGATAGTTGAACTTATATAGATATTTAAAGTCATGATAGTTGATCTTATATAGATATTTAAAGTCATGAGAGTTGATCTTATATAGATATTTAAAGTCATGATAGTTGATCTTATATAGATATTTAAAGTCATGATAGTTGATCTTATATAGATATTTAAAGTCATGATAGTTGATCTTATATAGATATTTAAAGTCATGATAGTTGATCTGATCTAGATAAAAGTCATGATAGTTGATCTTATATAGATATTTAAAGTCATGATAGTTGATCTTATATAGATATTTAAAGTCATGATAGTTAATCTTATCTAGATATTTAAAGTCATGATAGTTGATCTGATCTAGATAAAAGTCATGATAGTTGATCTTATATAGATATTTAAAGTCATGATAGTTGATCTTATCTAGATATTTAAAGTCATGTTGATCTGTTTGTATAGTCATGTAGTAATGTAAAGTTCTCTGCTGAACCTGATGGTCCTTGGGGCAAGTGAAGTAGAGTCTACCAGTTTCTGTGACTTCTGCATATGAAGGGCTAACCCTGCTGAACCTGATGGTCCTTGGGGCAAGTGAAGTAGAGTCTACCAGTTTCTGTGACTTCTGCATATGAAGGGCTAACCCTGCTGAACCTGATGGTCCTTGGGGCTAGTGAAGTAGAGTCTACCAGTTTCTGTGACTTCTGCATATGAAGGGCTTATGTGGCCAGCAGCCTTTACTTACCATCAGGGACATTCTATGAACCAGGAGTGGTATGCTCTACCGTGTGACCATGCTATCCCACTATAGTCTTGATAGTTGCAACAGTCTTTGACTTCCATTTTATTGATGCATGGCTAAACTAACAGCCCCGACTAAAGGATCCTGTCAAAATGGCTCCCAACAAAATGGATGGCAACAAATGTTCATTTGTAAACACATGCACAAGTGTCACAAAGAAACTTAGTGTATTATGGGAGACTACTGCTGGAGCTTGGTGTATTATGGGAGACTACTGCTGGAGCTTGGTGTATTATGGGAGACTACTGCTGGAGCTTGGTGTATTATGGGAGACTACTGCTGGAGCTTGGTGTGTTATGGGAGACTACTGCTGGTGCTTGGTGTGTTATGGGAGACTACTGCTGGTGCTTGGTGTATTATGGGAGACTACTGCTGGTGCTTGGTGTATTATGGGAGACTACTGCTGGAGCTTGGTGTATTATGGGAGACTACTGCTGGAGCTTGGTGTATTATGGGAGACTACTGCTGGAGCTTGGTGTGTTATGGGAGACTACTGCTGGTGCTTGGTGTGTTATGGGAGACTACTGCTGGTGCTTGGTGTATTATGGGAGACTACTGCTGGAGCTTGGTGTGTTACAAGATCTATACAGTGTGAGCTAACTGTATTACAAGATCTATACAGTGTGAGCTAACTGTATTACAAGATCTATACAGTGTGAGCTAACTGTATTACAAGATCTATACAGTGTGAGCTAACTGTATTACAAGATCTATACAGTGTGAGCTAACTGTATCACAAGATCTATACAGTGTGAGCTAACTGTATTACAAGATCTATACAGTGTGAGCTAACTGTATTACAAGATCTATACAGTGTGAGCTAACTGTATCACAAGATCTATACAGTGTGAGCTAACTGTATTACAAGATCTATACAGTGTGAGCTAACTGTATTACAAGATCTATACAGTGTGAGCTAACTGTATTACAAGATCTATACAGTGTGAGCTAACTGTATTACAAGATCTATACAGTGTGAGCTAACTGTATTACAAGATCTATACAGTGTGAGCTAACTGTATTACAAGATCTATACAGTGTGAGCTAACTGTATCACAAGATCTATACAGTGTGAGCTAACTGTATCACAAGATCTATACAGTGTGAGCTAACTGTATCACAAGATCTATACAGTGTGAGCTAACTGTATTACAAGATCTATACAGTATGAGCTAACTGTATCACAGGAGCTTCATGAGCACCAAGAGAAAAACATGTACGGCAAATAACTCAGTACGCCAAAAGTCTAATGTAAGGATGAGAGCTTAATTTATGGCTTGAGCTTAATATTTAAAAGCTGTATATGAGCAGGAGTTTAGATGCTAGTGTGAGCATTAGGTTCTGTTTCTGTCAAGGACCATATTGACAGGGGCCATTTTGTTAAGAGCGAATCGCCTACTAGCGTTGAAAAACCACATTTTGTGTTACTATCTGGAGTATCAGGAATGATATCCTTGGTCAGCATACTGACCTTGGCAGTGCTGGCTACATGACAACTATTGCATGACCATTGGATTTACATATTGCGTTATTTATTGGGATTTTTTTACATGGTGAGAGTTAAATTTCAAATGTGTCTCTTGATCAAGTAGGTAAAGTTGTCACCCCAGTTGGTGCCAGTTTCTTGCAGGCAGCAGTTTGGGTCAGATAGAAAGTATAGTCTTTAATCTGTCCTGTTTACCCCATCCCTCCTGTTGAGATAATGGCGTTAAGAATGATAGTTTAAAAAAGACAACAGAATTAGAACACTGACCCGCACACTTTCCACCTCACCACACTGACCTGCACACTTTCCACCTCACCACACAGACTTACACACTTTCCAGTTCCACTGTTGCATCTCATAATTCCGGCCAAGTGTTTTTTTTCTCTGTATGACTTACATCATTCACCCAATCATGTTTGACTTGCTTCATTCACCAACTCATGTATGACAGTCATTCAACGTTCTATGCCTATATTTTTTCTGTCATTCATATAATGTTTTATAACTTATAAAAACTGGGTAGACAAGTTGTACTGCATCATGACCGGTTTGTTTTAGATGTTGTGGGGAGAATTGAACCTTGTTTGTTTTAGATGTGGGTCGGGAGAATTGAACTTTGAGAATTTAGGAAGTATTTTGGCCTTTAAATACGTAAAAGATTATCTTTGTAAGAATTGGTAATTCTATGGATTATCTCTTTTTGTGTAAATCTAATTTTTGCCAGAAAAAAAGTGATATCTTCATTTGATCTAGCAAGCAATGGAAAAAATATTAATGATTTCTAAAACTCCTTGATAAAAACTTGCCTAATATAGATCTAAATAGATTTCACTGTATCAGTGTTTCAAGTATATTTTTACTATGTTAAGTTTTGTAAATCTTTGGAATATTTGAAGTAGTCTTCCTTAGTTTTTATCTTTGGTCCAAGTGTTACAGAAAGTCTGATTGTTTAGTCCAGTGTTTTAACACAAGTCATGACTGGTGTCCTTTGTACAGCTACATTCCAATTTCTCCACACATTTTTCTGTTGAAAGTAAGAGTGGCCAGATAAACAATTAATGTGTGAGACTTGCCAGATAAACATTAATTAATGTGTGAGACTGGCCAGATAAACATTAATTAATGTGTGAGACTGGCCAGATAAACATTAATTAATGTGTGTGACTGATAAAATTGCCCCAAATGATCTCTGTAAAACGACTAACACATATCTAATGTTTTATCACTAGCCTGTGTAAAAATTGTTTTACAAAACATCTTTAAAATGTTTTGATAAGGTTTGAAAATCAAATTTTTATCTTTGTTTCATGTGTGAAACTAATTTTCATCAAAGATCTGTACAATCAAACTTTTTTGTTTAACTTTTACAATTTTAAAATGTTATAATCATGAATTTGAAATGTATTGAAATAAATATTCTACTCTAGATTTGGCTCAAATGCTTCAAACTGTTGGGTATTAATGCTTGGCTGATAAGCATTTCAGGGTGGGGGGGGGGGTGTCTAGTTTTTTTCCAGGAACCATATGATATTGTGTTGTAAAAACAATTTTGGCATCCAATTAAGTAAAATTTAATGTCAAATTGCATTGTCTTCAAGTCTTGACCCATGTGCTAACTTTTCACCGCATCTGTCAGTTAGATCTCTAGAAGTGCCCGAAATTGTCATGGCTCAGTTCACAGTTCTTCAAAAAATGACGTTTGCTAGAGGTTTTTTTGTTCTTAGATTCTTTATTGATTTATTAATGTCTATTGTTTAGGAACGGAGTTACATTGAATTATGCATTGATGGTTTTATATCATATTTAGCGTGCAAGTCTCTTCTGGAACATTGAATTAAGCATTGATGATTTTATATCATATTTATTATTTAGCGTGCAAGTCTAAACTATCTGCTGGAACATTGAATTATGCATTGATGATTTTATATCATATTTAGCGTGCAAGTCTAAACTATCTTCTGGAACATTGAATTATGCATTGATGATTTTATATCATATTTAGCGTGCAAGTCTAAACTATCTTCTGGAACATTGAATTATGCATTGATGATTTTATATCATATTTAGCGTGCAAGTCTAAACTATCTTCTGGAACATTGAATTATGCATTGATGATTTTATATCATATTTAGCGTGCAAGTCTAAACTATCTTCTGGAACATTGAATTATGCATTGATGATTTTATATCATATTTAGCGTGCAAGTCTATCTTCTGCTCCAGGTTACCCAGCGTGCCGGACAAATAAATTATAAATGCACCACAAACACTATGTGATCAGTACGTTCAGCGATATATGGAGAACTTTAAGATACGAACTTTAGTTGAAAATGATATGGTGGATGTTTTAAATGTGTAAACTAAATTTTATTTAAAGAAGGAAAATAAAAACCAAGGCATATTCGAATGTAGAAACACAATTTTATTTAATATTTATGCAACCGGAAAAGTGTTTATTATTGTTTTGACAAAAAAGGAAGAAAAAAAAATTACGTCACATGTCACACGTTTAAACTACGGAAAGTACACAAAACTAATGTCAACGTCTTCCAATTTCAGAATATGAAGAAATGAACTATTTCATTCAAATTTGATTTAGATTTATAGATCTACTTATCGAGACGTAGGCTACGCTATGTTTGAAATGTCTCAAATGTATAAAATTTTCTCAGCCCAAAATAATACAAATTACATAGGCCTAAATATTAATAAATAATTAGGCCTATAATAATTACCTTTGAACAGCCGGGGTTTCAACGGGATCATACGGTGTGTGCATTTAATATGGTGTGTTGACTACTTGTTATAATACTTCAACAGACGCAGTTCTTCAGGTAACTTGGTTACATAATTACATTAGAACAGCATAGATGACTAGTCTCCAGCTCTGCCTACACAGTTAACTAACTCACAGCCACTCACAGGTACACATTAACTACATATCACTCATAACACACTGAACATTCAAGGGACGTAACCATAATATACATAATACAAGGGATGTAACAATCACTAAAAAGACATAATGTAACACTAATAATATAATAGTATTAATAGTAATAATGTAAATAATTATTATTTAAAAATAGTTATTCATGGTATTCTGTTATTTTCAATGTGTCGGATTTTTAAGCTATTTAGTTATTTCTTTGCTTTGTCACTAATATCGTTCAACGTGTAGTATGAAGCTCTATATCAATGGAGTTCCAGACAGTGTTTCTTCCAGACTTTTTTCTCCGGGGGGGGGCGGGGGGGGCGGTAGACTTTCTTCTATAAATTTCGTTCGGGTGGGCGGTAAAAATTTTTCGGGCGGGGGGGGGGGGGGGGGGGGCTTCGCCCCCCCCCCCCCCCCGAAGAGATGCCTGGAAGAAACTCTGGTTCCAGATACATTTGTTTCCCATTTATCCCATAAGGCCGCGGCCCGCGAAGCCCTCTCATCCGGCCCGCGGAGATCTTTTTGTACAAGGAAAAATCGTTTGTTGGTGATGGTTGAGGAACTTTGCCCAGAAAAATCAAAGACATGCCTGGGAGAAACTGGCCCCCGAACAGAAATTTGATAGTTAATGTGGCCCTCGGACTGAAATTTGATAGTTAATGCGGCCGTCGGACTGAAAAGTTTGGAGACCCCTGGTCTATACCACTATTCAGAATGCTTAGTGTTAGACAATAGCAAGTTATCAGAAACAATTATAGAAAGACTAAATAATGTAAAATCCAACATACACAACAAGCTGAAGACTGATCTTGCAGATGATTTCTGCTTGTGTGCACATCGTCAACAACAAATGCAGAATATTTCATACTATACTGGTTGAAGAAGCTGGACAAACCGGCCTAACTAAGACATTCAGATCGGCATCAAACAAAGGGAAACCGAGAGTGGACAATGAAATAACAGAAAGGAAAAGATGGGCACATCCTTAGAAAGAACTTTAAAATACTTCTAGATCTAGGCAGGTACGTCTAGAATTCACGAAGGAAGTTGGAGGATTGTAGGAAAAAAAGTCACAGGAAAAAAAGTCAAAGGAAAAAAAAAAGTCACAAATATATATTTTCGTGGAATTTCTTAATACTTCTTTGTATTAAATATTCAGAAAGTGCAAATCAGCTTAGGTTAATTAAATATAATAAAATGTGCGCAGGTTGTATGCGTATATTGAAATTTATAACACACCTAAATATTTAGTGTGAACTATTTACGTTTTATTCCTTTATACTTTATACATATAATATTTAATAGAATTTAATAAATTTTCCAACCTTCTCCTTTTCATAGTATTTGTTAAATACTAACTTTAAATTAGCGCGGAAAGGCATTAAGACGTAGTTAATGTGACTTGCTGCCCTTAACTCAAAGCAACAATAGGTCAACCACCTGTACTGCCCACATTCATTACAAAACAAAGGGAAGGATCAAAGCAGAATCCCGACACGGTACAAAGGCTGTCATTGACACAAATCGTCAACAATACACAATATGGACGGACAAGGCCGACTGAGGCGAAGCCGACCAAGGAATGGCTAAACATTAAACATGCAAAACGCAACGATGTGCCTAAAATTCGTTTACAATTAACATTTCTAGATCGTACTTAACTAAATTTCATTACAAAAGTTGTGGTTGCTGTGTAAATTTAAAAATTAGGTTACAGTATTTTTTACTTAGGGGGTCATCCATAAATGACGTTACACTCGTAGGGGGGGAGGGGGGTCCGTAATTTTGTGACGATGTGTGATGAGGGGGAGGGGGGTTCAGATGTTGCGACGTCACATTTTTGCATTATAAAAAAGCAATGTTAGAAAACGAATTTTAGACGTTATTTCGCGTTTTCGATAACTGTTTTAATAAATTGTAATAGTTTAGACGAGATTTTGGAAAAATATCGATGTTTAAAAAAAATTCAACTGCAATTTTGAGGGGGGTCGTAGGTTGAGGTGTGACGTCATTTTAGGGGGGGGGGTCTGGCTTTTGTGCGACGTGTGACGGAGGGGAGGGGGGAGGTAAAAATCGTCAAAAAAAGCGTGACGTCATTTATGGATGACCCCTTATTAGTTTTATAAGCAACAATGCTTTTATCGTTTATAAAAATGCTAAAACAACAACAGACAGCAATCAACACCCAAGTTCTTACAATTCTCAACAATTAAAATAAAAAAGATTTATTAAAAGATTTTTGTGACTTTTTTTTCTGTGACTTTATTTCTGTGACTTTTTTCCGTGACTTTTTTCCTAGCAAAAACTGACTTTTTTTCTGTGTTTTTTTTTCCTGTGACTTTTTTCCGTTCACCCTGTGGGATAGACCAAAAACGCCAATAATATATATATATATATATATATATATATATATATATATATATATATATATATATATATATATATATATATATATGTGTGTGTGTTTGAGTACTTATAGTATATAGGACAAAGGAGTTACACAACGAAGTGCAAGTGCCTAGAAAGAGAGATCTATATTTTAACGCCAATGAAATCCTCGTTGCGAAGTATCTAATAATAGTTTCTTACAAGACCTTGGCCAACTCTTTAATTCCATTTTAAATTTAATACTATTTACCGTCAATAAAAATGTCTCTCAGATTTTTTTAAAAACACTTAAAAAAAAGATTTGTCTAGATCTAGATATAGATTTTAGATCTAAATCTATGTCCAAAATTCAAAACAAGCGATTGCATTAAAAGTTCGAAACTACTTTGATTACAGCTCAATATACCCTCGGCGACCGTGCCGTATAATACGGAAGGAAAACCCCAAGTTCAGTCTTTCTAATCGCTCTACAGTAAGAGTAAACATGCCTGTAAGTGAATCGTTGTATTTTAGTAAATACTTTTGGATCGTATACTTGTTATTTTAATCTTTAACGTTAAATAAATTGTTTTGAACTTCCAAAAATGTTTTTTGGATTAATTAAACTCTGATAAATAAGTTTGTTGACGTCTTTAAATCCTTCCTGCGTATAACACCTGTTATCGATAAAAAAATAGGCATACTTTAATTATTGGGAAAGTTGTCCTTATTAACATAGATTAGGGCCTATAGATCTAGTCTAGAATGATAAAATAGACACAGATTAATACTGTAATATACCCCATTGATAAAAATACCGGGAGAATGTTTATAGGGTAAAGGAGGGCGTTAAGAGCCACACTTTAGCACCTGTACATTTTTAAAGATTTCGGTAATCTATCGTTTTGGGTACGTAAAATCGCCCGCGATTTGTAATGTGAAAAACAGGTGACTCCTTAAATTTTAATAATTATTTCACATTTTGAGGAGGATTTATGTTTTAAAAAATTCAAAAATGTTTCCTTGATTCATTTATGTACCTGTTTTTAAACAATTGAATTAAAACTTTTCCGTAATTAATGAAGACTAGCGATGTTTCCAACAGATGCAACCATGCTCATTTACTACAGCAGCCATCTTGTCAAAGTTTTATTTTCATAAGCTTTTAGCGCCAGATTCAGGGGGAAGCCACTCTATTTTACAAATGGCTGCTGTTTATATAGCAAATCTTGCTCTCAGACACTGCTGTTTAAAGTTAATTTCTGGCCTAGATTTCTATATCGATATATTTAGCCATTGATTTAGGTTTATTATTCATTTATCTATAATATTTGACACAAACATATGACAATATAATTCTATTAAAGCCTTGACAATGAGGTAACGTTTTCGTACATAAATAGCCGCGGGCGATTTTACGTACCCAAAACGATAGATTACCAAGATTTCTACTAATCTAAGAATTTTTTAGTATTGAAAATATGGCAAAATTATTCTAACATATCTTACACAATATAAAAATAATAACAAAGTCTATTAAATATACTTTAAATGGGTTTAATTGAACATTTATTGTCATACCCCCGAAATCAGCATTTGGGGTGAAAGGAGCCGGGCAGTGGGGCAATAAGCATTATCTCCTAGTTTAGACTAACTCCTCAATAAAAATAATTAATTTCTAACCCCAAAATAGTTAATGCTGTGTACACACACTTTAACTGATACTAGCTATCACTAGGCCCCAATGGGCCCAGTCTACAATTGATACAATTACAGGTGTACATAGGGCCTAAAGTCAAGTAGTTTACAGTAGGCACATTAGTATGCCTAGTGTGTAGCTAGTATACTAGTGTGTAGCTGTCCAGAGTTAACATTCTTGTATGTAAAAAGGAGGTGGTACTAACTAATCTGCCTTAATGCTTTCCCCTGATAAGCCATGTGTGCTATACATTACATAACATGACATGGAGGTGAGAAATGTTGAGGGGAGAGCAGTGGTACTGGTTTCCCCTTTGTTTTCCTTGCTGGACCCTGAGGGCCATAAATTACATAAGGAGATGCTATCTCTGGTTGGCTGAGATCTAAGAACTAAGTCCATGCTACCTACAAAGAGATAAGTTTTATGGTGGGTTAGATACAGGTGGGGGCTGGGTATCATGGGGGTGAGAAATTGTGAGGGGAGAGCAGTGGTACTGGTTTCCCCTTTTTTTCTCCTTGCTGGACCCTGAGGGCCATAAATTACATAAGGAGATGCTATCTCTGGTTGGCTGAGATCTAAGAACTTAGTCCATGTTACCTACAAAGAGATGAAGTTTAATGGTGGGTTAGATCATGGAGGTGAGAAATTGTGAGGGGAGAGCAGTGGTACTGATTCCTCTTTGGTCTCCACCCTGCTAGACCATGAAGGTCATGTTACATAACATGCCACCACAGATTGTCTGAGATCTGTAACTGTAATCCATGTTACCTACAAAGAGATGAAGTTTTATGGTGGGCCAGAAACTGGTGGGGGCTGGGTATCATGGGGGTAAGAAATTGTAAGGGGGGGGGGAGCAGTGGTATTAATGTGTCTGTTTACTTCCATGCTGGACCATGAGGGTCATAAATTACATAACATACCACCCCAGATAGGCTGAGACCTAAGAATATTTATTCCTGTTACCTACAAAGAGATTAGAAGTTTTATGGTTGGTTAGAAACAGGTGGGGGCTGAGTCGGCTGTATTGCCCCTTAGGGGTAATAAGTACTCATACCATTTTAAAAATTACCTTGCTAACATGAGATGACTGAATTTTTACTTAGAATAGTATTTCTATCATTTAGACACAAGTCTGTTTAACAATTAATACATTTTGTGTTAACTATTCCTATACCAGTGTCATATTCAGTGGTCTAATAAATGAGAAACTTGCACATAGGGTTTCAAGAGCCACATAACAGTATCTGTTATAACTTTTCTAAACAGGCAAGCTTGTGAACAAAATTAATGTATTCATGTAGATTTAGTTATTATCTAACAAATAAAACCATTATGGTAAGTTTTACTCTGATAATGATAAAAACTTTATAGCATGGTAAAATGGGACTAATGTCGGCCATTTTGTTTTGGCACCAATAATCACTGTGCAAAAAAAATTCACCAAAATAAAACTATTCTAGCCATAGCTATAAAAATAGTGTTAAAATGTACAACAACCAATGCTCTAATACAGGAACAAAGAATGGGCTTGAAAAACTCATTTGGTTTATTACAAAGTGAAGTTTCCCAAGTTATGTCGATTTGGAAAAAAAGTTCACAAAATGGTTTTATGGAGATGAGAAATTTTAGGGAAAGAGCAGTGGGATTAAATCTTGTCTCATCCTCTCCCTATTGGACCAAGTGGGTGTAAATTACATAAAATGAATCCTCTGTTATCAAAGAACAGCAGTGGTTGTTACCTCAGAAGTAGATTAGCAGTGTTATTGGGGGTTTTGTGGGGGTGGGGTGTTGATTGGGGCTTAATACCACACGGCTCTTAACGCCCTCCTTTACCCTACCTGAGTCCGATAATGGAATCTTCTTTAGACAATCGGTAATCTATCGTTTTGGGTACGTAAAATCGCCCGGGACTAGTAATGTGAAGAACAGGTGACTCCTTACATTTTAATAATTATTTCACATTTTGAGGAAGATTTATGTTTTAAAAATAAAAAAATGTTTCTTTGTTTCATTTATGTACCTGTTTTTAAACAATCGAATTAAAACTTTTCAGTAATAAATGAAGACTAGCGATGTTTCCAACAGATGCAACCATGCTCATTTACTAGTATTTCTCGCTAACTTGGAGGCGTGGTCGGTTGCTAACAACATGGCGCCCGGACCGGACGTTTGATTTCCGGCGATTTTTCGGCCAAATTCCAGAGACCTTCAACTAATTACATATAAAAATGTTTACCACGCGCAAAATGGCGGGATTTCCGTGTCATAACAACAAACCATAGGTGGCAGGGTTAGATATGCCAGAAAAGCATTTTAAAATTTGGTTTGGAGAACGGAGGCTAAATTCAAAAGTTGGTTTCATTAAAATTAATAAAATTTAAAAAATATCAACAGTGTAGGTACAGAAATGAGCGAGAACGTAAAGCATTATTAGTTTTATCAGTTTATGAAAAAAGAAATCAAATATTGTGAGCTGTTTTTTTATAAGACCGGCGTCCGTATCACAACCAATTTATTTTTATTTTTTAAAAACCACGTGACCGCTATTTGGTGATCACTATTGAGGAACTCTGGGTGCATGGCCACTTAAAAAGTCTAACCTGATTTGTGGTTTTCTTTAGCTTCAAGCTTAAGAAGAGTTGTCATGGAGTGATGTGTTGGACATGGCAGTGATTGACAATAAATATTAAATTAAGTAATTTAGTTTAAAACGAACTAAAAACTCCAAAGTTAGTGCCTAATGGATTAAATATGGATGTCTTTTATTCAGTGGTCCTGTTTAAATTGATAGTTGCGTAAATTCTAGATTTAGTGAGAAAAACTATCATTTACTATAGCAGCCATCTTGTTAAAGTTTTATTTTTATAGATTCAGGCGGAAGTCACTCTATTTTACAAATGGCTGCTGTTTATATAGTAGTTTTTCAACCGACCACGCCTCCAAGTTAGCGAGAAATACTATTATATAGCAAATCTTGCTTGCAGACACTGCTGTTTAAAGTTAATTTCTGGCCTATATTGATATATTTAGCCATTGATTTAGGTTTATTATTCATTTATCTGTAATATTTGATACAAAAATATCACAATATAGGCCTACTTATATTACAGCCTTTACAATGAGGTAATGTTTTTGTACATTAATAGCCGCGGGCGATTTTACGTACCCAAAACGATAGATTACCAGGTAATCTATCGTTTTAGGTACGTAAAATCGTCCGCGACTAGATCTAGATCTAGTAATGTGAAAAACAGATGACTACTTAAATTTTAATAATTATTTCACATTTTGATGATTTATGTTTTTAAAAATAAACGAAGTGACTACTCGGAAGATTTTTCTCCCCAACGTCTCCACTTAGTCGGCAAAAGATAGCAGTGACCTATGGCTAGGATTAGGGTTGGTGTTAGGGTTCTGCGGTTGTAAACACACGCATGCACAGTACCATCGAAAACATCGCCGCGAAGGCAAGTCATAGTTTCTCTCCATTGCGCATGCGTATCTTATTCCGGCTAGCATGGGCCAAAAATAAAACTTAAACAACATGGCTGCTATAGTAAATGAGCATGGTTGCATCTGTTGGAAACATCGCTAGTCTTCTTCTGGGTAAGGGAACCGATAGGGACCAAAAATCATGTAATCACCCCTTTTTTCTAATTTTAGAAGAGAAAACCCCATTAACCTCGACATTTACACTTAGCTTTATGTATCTAGAAGCTATTTTTAGCGTAACATTTTTATCTAACTGTTGATTGGCCGCTAATCCCGAACTCTGTCAGTACACCAGGGAGAGTGTTTAAGGAGAAAATGTGTACCATGCAACTTTTAAAAATTTATAATCAATTTTCAGAAAAACGAAATAGAATGAACTAAACATAGAAGTGTTTATAAATGAAAATATTACATGCCGATCTCGGCGGTTTTGCATAAAAACATAAAAATAATGTATTTTAGGGGTCCCATCCACGACAAATGAAAAAACTGTTTATGGCTAGTTTATTTTAAAAAAAATGTCAGGATGTGGTCGTACCGAATCAAAACAGCGGAAGTAGAAATGCCTAGATAAAAGAACAGAAAATCTCTCATTCTAGAAAGCTAAAAATAAACATTAAGATATCTTTTAGGCACGTTACTTCTAGATTCTAGACCTGTTATGCTATGGGTATTGTAAATTTAAACTAGTGTGAATGGTTAGTTTGCTGTGTAGATCTAGATTTATGTATTCTCAATGATGAAAACATTTTTTCTGATTGTCATTGATTTCAGAAAAAGTCCTCTAAGAAGTACTGATGAGAATACTTGATTTAACTTTGGATAAATTTTATTATTAGGTTAAAGCAGTGCACTAAGAACAGTGTGGTTTTAGGATCCAGTCAGCACCCCACAACACAAAATTAAACAATCATCTAAAATAATCTAGATCTAATTAGCAACTGCTGTTGTTTGATAACAAAATTATAGGATTCTTATGTAATTTATGACCCACTTGACCTAGCAGGGTGAAGAAAAAACATTAATTAACCCAAATGCTCTTTTCACAAAACTTTGGCTCTTTTCACAAAACTTTGGCTCTTTTCACAAAACTTCGGCTCTTTTCATAAAACTTCTTCCCTTAGTAAAAGTGATAAAACTATTTTTGTGAACAATTTCTTTCAAATAATTAGGAAAGGCTTTAATAAATATCATGACTATTTCAATTACATTTCAAGTCTTCAAGCATTAATTGCTGAACATTTAACACCATTTTTATAACTTTAAGGACTAGTTAAAACTAGTTTTTTTTATGGTGAATTTTTTTTTACATAGTGATTGTTGGTGTCAAAACAAGATGACAGTTTGTCCAGTACCATATGAAAACTTGACTGATCAATATCATAATGGTTAAATTTGTTAGATAATAGCTTTATCATTTGGCTCTTTATACCTAAGGTTCAAGTTAATCATTAAATTCCTTCTAGGGGCAATAAGACCACCATTGCACCCATCTGTTTTTAACCCACCAAAATCATATAAATTCTTTTGTAGGTAATATGGATTGTTGCTCTTAGATCTCAGCCAATCAGATAGCATCTCTTAATGTAATTTATGACCCTTTGGCCAGCAGGGAGAACATAAAAGTAAATGCTTCTTTTCTGAAAATCCAAGCAGTTGGACAAAATTGATAGATTTTATCTAAAAAAAATAATACCACAATGATAGTGATCATAAAGTTTTATTGATAGAATGATAAATACGTCTCAGCATGGTAAATCTGGACAATTAATGACCATTTCATTTTGGCATCAATTTTTTTGCTAAAAATAATTCACCAAAATAAGATTCACTCTAACTATAGTTATAACAGCTAACACGTTACATGGTGGCCTGCTTTACCATAGTGTCTATCAGCCTTTGTACTCTATTTGTAATTACATTTTTAGCAGACAATCATTATTTATCGGCCTGGGGATGTGTTCATATTTTTTTTCATCTTGCGTAGGACATTCAATATTTTGCTGTTTTAACAATTTATGCAGTCGCTGGTTATTTTCCTTTGGCTCAGCCTTCTCTCAACAATCACAATTATATGCCGATAATTGAATTTATGTTCAAAATTTTATGATTTAGAAAAATGATAATTTGGTGGATATGGTTAGATATCTTTTAGCTATTTTCCACATTTTCTTCTTTAGGAATGCAGTAAATAATTGGTTCTTTGCCTTTTTTTAAATGCACGCTAACTAATAAAATAGCATAGAAAAATAATTAAAATTCAATTATCCAATTGAAAACAAATCTGTCAAATAAAAAATTATCATGAAGCTACTGAAGGCTTGGTCATTTACAGTCAGTTTTTCCGTGTTTTTTGACAGTCATTAAGAACATTTTAAAGTTTATTTCAGACCATATTTAGTTGTGGCCTTAATTTTGATGTTTTGTAGTGAAATAAATATTTACATTAATTTTGTGAGACATTACATCCCATCATAAAAATTAGTGAACATATCCAGTAAGCAATTTTTGATTTATCATAGAAAAAACAAACAAAAACAGCCATTAAAACTGAACATATCAGTGTGCATTGTTTTGTTGATATACATTATAATGGAATAGGTTAACTTTGGAAATACTTCCCTGTGATGAACATATTGTTCTGTCTGATAATTTTGATGTGAAAAATATTATCCTCTAAGAAGTTCTGATGGGAAATTTCTGAGTTTAGACCATTAATTGTAAAAAAAACAACTTTGTAGCAGAACTTTTGTATGAATGTACTGAAGGGTTTGTCGCAATGTTGATTTGTAATATGGTAATTATTTTTGTTTCTTTCAGTTAGCAAAGGACCTGTTACATCCCTCTCTAGAAGAGGAAAAGAGAAAATGCAAACTTAAAAGGCTTGTTCAGAGTCCCAACAGCTATTTTATGGATGTTAAATGTCCAGGTAATTTTATTGTAGTTTTGGCCTACTGTCCCACCATCCCATTTTCATCCAAGATGTTTGTTCAGCTTTTTGAAGAAAAAAATAAAGACAATTAATAAATAGAATTGAATAAAGTGGCTGAGCCAATGCAGCTGCCCAGTAAAACTGACAAATCTGCTTTTCTCTATTAAAGCACTAATTTCTAGATACAGATCTATCTTGTAAATTTTAACTACTAAGTGGTAATTTGGACTTTTACTAGGTAGATCTATGACTTATCAATTACATATGAAGCCTTAAGCATTTGTTGCTCATTTAGCCTAGAAAATAGCTAGACAGGATCAATCAATAATGTTAAGTAAAAGCTATGGTTTTTTAATTGGGGGGGGGGGGGGATAGGTTACTGGGTTATTTTGTTTTTTAATGTAAGCTGACATTAAGCAGTATTTATATGTAGCCTAGAGACTAGTTATATATAACTAGAAGCTTTCTTTAGACTTATTTTTTAATTATTTATAAAAATTTTCGACTTGGTAAAGTAGTCTGCTTGTATGTTCCTCTTTTTGGCTTCAAATTCCTCTTTTTAGGTATGGCTGTTCCTACTTTGAGCTGCCTGGGGTAGGCATGTCTGCTGATAATTAATTTTCCTAGAGTGTTTGGGTCTTGCTAGTAAATTTCTAAGATTTGACAAATTAGGATAGGTATTGGAATCCTTTTGTCATTTGAAGACCTCCCCTTTTACTTAGTACACCAGAATTGTCCAATGTATATGTAGAGGTTATACAGTGTGGATTAATGGCTGGCCTTTTTTTTTTCCAGGCTGCTACAAAATCACAACTGTGTTTTCTCATGCCCAGACAGTTGTTTTGTGTGTTGGATGTTCCACAGTTTTATGCCAGCCAACTGGAGGCAAAGCAAGGCTTACAGAAGGTTTGCTTGTTTACTTTATGCTACCTGCCAATACTTGTAGTAACTTCTATCTAGCCTATTGTAAAACATGTGCTGGTTGTTCTTGTTTATACACATTTAAACTTTCCTTATCTCTATAATTAACGAATCCAACTTGTGTCTAACCCTAACCCTAGGCATTTCAATGCAATCTTAACCATTAATGACCCATTACGCCCGCTGCCGCCCGCTACCCATGATGGCCCGTAACGCCCGCTGCCGCCCACTTACAATACGCATAGAAATTAAATTTGTTTCATTAAAATTTGGCCTACAAATCCTAATTCTTAACTAAACAGGAAGTTGGATAGTTTCAGCATCCTTTTCTGGTCTTCTAATTTCAATGGTGCTTTTGAAAAATACAAATCTCAAAATTTTAGACTCATCTGTCCTATTTTTAGTAGATTTAATATTAAAAATAAAATAATGCCTATAAACATATCTAGGCATGTATTCTATGAAATATATAACTTAAACATAACCAAATTGATATTTAACTGTTAAATTCGATACATAGTTGTTTATACAAAAATTAATAAAGTTGACTACCGAAAATGTCCTATTTTGAATTTTCTCTGGCATTTTTTTTTATACTGTACTTGTACCGAATATAATATATTCTATTTAATACTGTTGGAAAGCCATGTTTATTCCCAACATTAAGCAGTAGTTTTTATCTTAATTTTCAATTTCATTTAGACAAATACAAATATTTTGTTCACTTGATCATACAGAGTTATGCTCCTTACATTGGGCCGTCAAGGATGGTGTTTTGGTAGAATGAATGGGTCATTAATGGTTAATTGAGAATGCTAGTTCATTTATCTTTCAGGAGATATATGGATTGTATGCCTTTCATTAATATACCTACTAAAGGAATTTTACAATTTTTAATTTGCTAATTAGGTTGGCGTCACAAGCTCATGCCAGAATCCATGTCCACATTTACTGCTAATCGCTTAGAAATAAATTAAAAATAATATTGCACTATAATTTATAATATTCTGATTCCTTTTTAGAATATTTTTGTTTTGGTTACATTATTTTCAATAAAATGTGTCCTAAAATCAGATTTATTAGTAACTGGAATCAAGTAGTTGACCAGTCCAGTCAGTATGGATTGTGGAGGTCTAAGATTTCATTGCGATTTCTATTTTACTACTAGATTTTAGATTTAATGCTGAATAATGAACGTCCTAGTATTTATCAGTCTGAGCTAAGATTTGTATATTTAAAATTGCGTAGAATACTATAAAAATATTTAGATTCTATCAGAAGGCTGTGCTAGGATCGTTTTTCGAAAGATCGATAGCATTAATTCGCGATGTAAAGCACTCCTGCCTATTAAAATTAACAACAAAGTGAACCGGAAGGAGATTAAATTTTAAAATGAAGGGTTATTTCCGGGAAAATATTGGATTGGAAGTGAATTTGCATCCGTGTTTTAAACGGGACTTGCAGACACTTTTATCAGCCGACCACAGCTTGTGGCACCAAGTGGACGCAGACTATTATTAGTACTTTATAAATTTACATCCATTTTTTTTTTTAGAAATCTGTATACAGAAAATACTCAAAATTTGACAGAAGGTAGAGAATAAGATATTTTTCTCATGTGAAATTTCTTTTACTTATCTGATACTGTACTTAAGTTATTGGCTTTAAAAAAAATTGAAAGTAGAATAAATTCCACTTCCGGTTACCAGAAATCGCTGAAAATTTATACATACAGAGCTACAAATTGGATATAATACCTTGTAATTTCATCAATCTAGCTGTAACTGTACTCAAGTTACGGTTACTGTTTACACACACATACTGACAAAATTGCAGAACAATGTTTTTGTCTGACTCAAATCTCAACAATTTTTATAAAACCATGATACTCTTTATATGGTCAATACAAGTATATTGGTATTTTTGTTTTCATTTAATGTTTTAAAATATTTTTTTTTCAATTTTCAGGATGCTCATTTAGGAAGAAGCAGCACTAAGATGGACATGACTTGAATTTGAGACTGTATTTTCCCTAAAGCAACAATTACAATTGAATAAACAAATATTATCAGTCAGACCAGTGCTTGTTCCTTTTTCTCTCCATTGGGAGTTAGCCAGTCCATACTCTGAGGTGATACAAGAAAAAATCTGATCTATTAATAGACTGGCTCTTGTAGTCATGTTGTGTTGATGCTATCTATGAGTTTTCTTTTTTGTTGGAGTATTCTTCCACATTTACAATAATTTACATTGCTTCCTGAGTATGGCAATACTTGCAGTTCCCGCAAAAATTATTAAACAGGAAGTTCTGGTTAATGATAATTACTAAATTTGTAAACAGTCCTCATTCAGTCACTTCCAGTTGATTTGATGAATTCAGGTTATTATTCTTGGTATTTTTATAATAGCTACACTACTATTAGTAATAGTAGTGTAGCTATTAAAAGTATTACTTCATGTAACCAAATAATATAGTTTAAGAGCAGAAACTTATTTTTCTTTAAAAAAACTAACTGGACATGGCAGGATGTAGAGTAGGCTAATTTTATTTCTAAATTGTGGAACCCTGTTCACCTGAAAATTGCGGTTTTCCTTGAAAATTATTAGTTAAAATAAGGAACACAATATTTTATTTTTATTGGACTTTTATTTGCAATAAATATTCAGAACTTACAGGGTTATGTGGTGTAGCATATATACAAACAGTATTGTTATTATATTGACTAGCAAATCAGATGGCCTAACTTATGATGACCTGGACACGTTCTAAAGCCTGGTTGTAAAGCATACATTTACTGGAGTGAAACAATTTCTATTTGCACATCAGGTAGCATTTACTATAATACATACAAATGCAATGAATGTTTTGAAAGCTGACTTTTGGATGTAGGACTAGAAAATATATCTAAACACTTGTATAGCATGTATATAATGAACACAATGAATATGCAACATGAATATGACATTAGAAACAAAGCAATAATCCACTATATTGACCAGTAGACAACATTGACAGGGATTTTGTACACAGAGGAAGACATTTTGATGTTGATATTCAAAGAAATAAATTCCTGAATAGCTCTAGAGGCTGGAGCAACCAAAAAGATGTACACTTGTTTGTATGTACATTATGTACAAGTACAAGCACTGAAGGAGAGCAGTCAGGCTTCACTAAGACTGGAGAACAATACCCTCCCTGGGGGGGGGGGGGAAGAGATGGGGTCTCCTCCATAATCTGGGATTGACCTGGACAGATAGACTGCTGAAATGTTTGAATTATTTTTGTTCTTTCTTCCACTTCATGTTAAGAAAACAATTTATTAAATTAATTTCATAAGTTCAAAATTATTACATAATTTGTTAATTTCAAAACAATGTATAATTATAATGACGTTTTTAAAGGCTAATTATGGTCAACCTTACACACAACCTAGGTACTGACTGACTGGTTCCCTTCATGTTTGCTCAAATAAAATTTGCGCAGAGGTATGAGTATTGTGCTCAGGTACAACTACAGGTACATTTTTTACAACTACAAGTAAGGATTTCACACAACAGACAAGCAAAAGGTAAATTTGTAGAAGGTAATGACTCAATTTTGGTTGACGTCTGTTTCTTCCAGACTTTTTTCTTCTTGAAATTTTCGGGAGGGCGGTAGACTTTCTTCTGGGGGTGGGGGCATGGAAGAAACTCTGGATGATGCACAAACCTAATAGTTTGGGTTGAAAATTTTTGGCCATTGCTATCAAGTTACAATTGCTTGAGTCTGTTGCTAGGTGAGTGAAGACAAGACAAGGTTATGTACACTTTGGTAATACTGTATTGGTAGGTCCCTCAACTTGTGATGGCAGCAAGCTGGTGCAGGGTGGGCGGGGGGGTACAAAATACAAAACATCAAATACATGGACACCAAACTGACCAGTCCACTGTGCCATAGGTCACCTGTTGTAGTCTGTAGAGATGGGCTTTGTTCTATCAGGTAGCTGACACACCTGTGGCTACTTGGACTACCTTGGTCTGACTATTGCAACTGTCACCAAAGTGGAATTATGTTACCATTATACGGAGCAGACAAGTAGAAATAGACTATTTCAAAAAATTGTTCACTGGATATTGCACTAAGATAGAAAATATTAAAACATTCAGGTTTGGCACAAGCAATACTGAGGAATATGAAAAATGTTTTAAATAAAAAGAGTGCAAAACTGACAAGTAGATTTATGTACAAGTAGATTAATGTACAAGTAGAATTATGTACAAATCTTTGATTTAAGCACACAGCCAGCCAAGTAATACTGGAGATAAATAAGGGAAGTAACTGAATACACACAAGGTAGATAACAACAATGTTTGATACATACACTTTTTAAAATAGTGTTGATATTTACACTGTAGGATCATGTGAAGAAAATGTATAATTGTACACTAAGTAAATGCAATGTTACATAAATAAGATGTGAACACCTTTACAGAAATTACATTCATACATTCTGAACAATTACAATGATTTAATTAACAAGTGTACTGATAACTTGGGACAAATATAAGAGTCTGATATTACTGATAACTTGGGACAAATATAAGAGTCTGATATTACTGATAACTTGGGACAAATATAAGAGTCTGATATTACTGATAACTTGGGACAAATGTAACAGTCTGATAACTTGGGACAAATGTAACAGTCTGATAACTTGGGACAAATATAAGAGTCTGATAACTTGGGACAAATATAAGAGTCTGATATTACTGATAACTTGGGACAAATATAAGAGTCTGATATTACTGATAACTTGGGACAAATATAAGAGTCTGATATTACTGATAACTTGGGACAAATGTAACAGTCTGATAACTTGGGACAAATGTAACAGTCTGATAACTTGGGACAAATGTAACAGTCTGATAACTTGGGACAAATGTAACAGTCTGATAACTTGGGACAAATGTAACAGTCTGATAACTTGGGACAAATATAAGAGTCTGATAACTTGGGACAAATGTAACAGTCTGATAACTTGGGACAAATATAAGAGTCTGATAACTTGGGACAAATGTAACAGTCTGATAACTTGGGACAAATGTAACAGTCTGATAACTTGGGACAAATGTAACAGTCTGATAACTTGGGACAAATGTAACAGTAACAGTCTGATAACTTGGGACAAATGTAACAGTCTGATAACTTGGGACAAATGTAACAGTCTGATAACTTGGGACAAATGTAAGAGTCTGATAACTTGGGACAAATGTAACAATCTGATAACTTGGGACAAATGTAACAGCCTGATAACTTGGGACAAATATAACAGTCTGATAACTTGGGACAAATGTAAGAGTCTGATAACTTGGGACAAATGTAAGAGTCTGATAACTTGGGACAAATGTAACAGTCTGATAACTTGGGACAAATGTAACAATCTGATAACTTGGGACAAATATAAGAGTCTGATAACTTGGGACAAATGTAACGGTCTGATAACTTGGGACAAATGTAACAGTCTGATAACTTGGGACAAATGTAAGTTTGATAACTTGGGACAAATGTAACGGTCTGATAACTTGGGACAAATGTAACAGTCTGATAACTTGGGACAAATGTAACAGTAACAGTCTGATAACTTGGGACAAATGTAACAGTAACAGTCTGATAACTTGGGACAAATGTAACAGTCTGATAACTTGGGACAAATGTAACGGTCTGATAACTTGGGACAAATGTAAGTCTGAAAACTTGGGACAAATGTAACAGTTCACAAAATGTAATGTACAATGATATCTTCTTATTGTCAGAATGTATAAAACTTAAGCTCCGGACATTTATAAAATCGATGGATATGAAGACTTCCAAAAAAAAAAAACCTGGACTGGACACAAATTTGAGACTTCCATACCAACAAGGGAGTAGACTGTAGCTGCCACCAAATGTTATCTAACACAGGCCATCAAAAATAATCACAGTCCAACCTGAAAACAATATATTACTGGCTTTATTTATTGATTATATTAATCAGTTCATTAATTTAATTAAAGTTGAGGGACAAAAAAGTTGATAAAATTGTCTCTGATGAGTTACCTGGCAATGGGAGCACACCCATGGTTGGGTTGGTTGTTGATGCTTTGAGAACCTGTGTAAAAAATGTATGGCTGAGATCTGTGGTGATGTCGGCGGGGTATTGGCAGTGGGGACGGCTGGTTTTCTGGAACAAACCTTCTCAGGACCGCTGGCGATTGGTTGATTGGGGTGGACGTGCCTGCGGGCTGTGCCTCAACATGGCCGCCAGATACGGCGGGGACGTTAGGTTTGAAGTGTGGCGCCCTCAGCTGGGAACTTCTAATTACGTACAGTGTCTCAATGTGATCATTTGTAGGCACGTTAGGTGGAGGGGCGGGGAAGGTTTGAGGAGCACTGGGATGTAAGGCAGGAGGTGTTGTGTGCTGGTCAGGAGGTGTTGTGTGCTGGTCAGCTCTCTGGAAACTCAATGCCCCGTTTTGATGCTGACCACTCTGACAGCAGAGAGTGCTAAAGTTGTCACCTGTTGACCTTTGAACTGAGCAGACGACAGCGGGTCCCTGATGGCTAGAGGCAGGAGGTTCGTGTGAGCTCCCGGTTTCTCTGGGTTCACCACACACATCTGTCCTGCCCCGGGGGTAGGAATGTCTCACAGGTGACATGTGCAGGTGTGTCGTGCTGGCAGAGTTTGTTGTATCAAGTGTGTATGGTGGTGGGGGTTCCTCTTGAAAAAAGCACTGTGGGTAGTTTTCAGCATAGCGCCTAGAAACTGGTCTGGCTTCATGTGTCGACCCCTCACTCAACCCTTCATGGGGCCCTAACTGCTGTTGGCGCTGGGTGGTACTGGTGTTTAGGTCTGTGGCTATCTGGCTAACTGTGGCTGGTGGTGGCTGGCTAACTGTGGCTGGTGGTGGCTGGCTAACTGTGGCCGGTGACCGACCACTGCTGACCAAAAGTTGACTGGACCTATAGCTGGGTGGAGCACTGGCTCTGTTGAAGCTGGCCCCCCCTGCCCTGGCCCCCCCTGCCCTGGCCGGTACAGTGATGTAGCTGTTTAAAATAGCCTCTTGGTAGGATGGCAGTCGTGTGGCATCTATGGACAACATTTTTGAAATGTCAGAAGCAAGTTCTAAAATAAACAAAATAATCAAACAATTGAAGTAGAACTAGTCACCTGAAATGTCAGAAGCAAGTTCTAAAATAAACAAAATAATCAAACAATTGAAGTAGAACTAGTCACCTGAAATGTCAGAAGCAAGTTCTAAAATAAACAAAATAATCAAACAATTGAAGTAGAACTAGTCACCTGAAATGTCAGAAGCAAGTTCTAAAATAAACAAAATAATCAAACAATTGAAGTAGAACTAGTCACCTGAAATGTCAGAAGCAAGTTCTAAAATAAACAAAATAATCAAACAATTGAAGTAGAACTAGTCACCTGAAATGTCAGAAGCAAGTTCTAAAATAAACAAAATAATCAAACAATTGAAGTAGAACTAGTCACCTGAAATGTCAGAAGCAAGTTCTAAAATAAACAAAATAATCAAACAATTGAAGTAGAACTAGTCACTTGAAATGTCAGAAGCAAGTTCTAAAATAAACAAAATAATCAAACAATTGAAGTACAACTAGTCACTTGAAATGTCAGAAGCAAGTTCTAAAATAAACAAAATAATCAAACAATTGAAGTAGAACTAGTCACCTGAAATGTCAGAAGCAAGTTCTAAAATAAACAAAATAATCAAACAATTGAAGTAGAACTAGTCACCTGAAATGTCAGAAGCAAGTTCTAAAATAAACAAAATAATCAAACAATTGAAGTAGAACTAGTCACCTGAAATGTCAGAAGCAAGTTCTAAAATAAACAAAATAATCAAACAATTGAAGTAGAACTAGTCACCTGAAATGTCAGAAGCAAGTTCTAAAATAAACAAAATAATCAAACAATTGAAGTAGAACTAGTCACCTGAAATGTCAGAAGCAAGTTCTAAAATAAACAAAATAATCAAACAATTGAAGTAGAACTAGTCACCTGAAAAGTCAGAAGCAAGTTCTAAAATAAACAAAATAATCAAACAATTGAAGTAGAACTAGTCACCTGAAATGTCAGAAGCAAGTTCTAAAATAAACAAAATAATCAAACAATTGAAGTAGAACTAGTCACCTGAAATGTCAGAAGCAAGTTCTAAAATAAACAAAATAATCAAACAATTGAAGTAGAACTAGTCACCTGAAATGTCAGAAGCAAGTTCTAAAATAAACAAAATAATCAAACAATTGAAGTAGAACTAGTCACCTGAAATGTCAGAAGCAAGATCTAAAATAAACAAAATAATCAAACAATTGAAGTAGAACTAGTCACCTGAAATGTCAGAAGCAAGTTCTAAAATAAACAAAATAATCAAACAATTGAAGTAGAACTAGTCACCTGAAATGTCAGAAGCAAGTTCTAAAATAAACAAAATAATCAAACAATTGAAGTAGAACTAGTCACCTGAAATGTCAGAAGCAAGTTCTAAAATAAACAAAATAATCAAACAATTGAAGTAGAACTAGTCACCTGAAATGTCAGAAGCAAGTTCTAAAATAAACAAAATAATCAAACAATTGAAGTAGAACTAGTCACCTGAAAAGTCAGAAGCAAGTTCTAAAATAAACAAAATAATCAAACAATTGAAGTAGAACTAGTCACCTGAAATGTCAGAAGCAAGTTCTAAAATAAACAAAATAATCAAACAATTGAAGTAGAACTAGTCACCTGAAATGTCAGAAGCAAGTTCTAAAATAAACAAAATAATCAAACAATTGAAGTAGAACTAGTCACCTGAAATGTCAGAAGCAAGTTCTAAAATAAACAAAATAATCAAACAATTGAAGTAGAACTAGTCACCTGAAATGTCAGAAGCAAGATCTAAAATAAACAAAATAATCAAACAATTGAAGTAGAACTAGTCACCTGAAATGTCAGAAGCAAGTTCTAAAATAAACAAAATAATCAAACAATTGAAGTAGAACTAGTCACCTGAAATGTCAGAAGCAAGTTCTTAAATAAACAAAATAATCAAACAATTGAAGTAGAACTAGTCACCTGAAATGTCAGAAGCAAGTTCTAAAATAAACAAAATAATCAAACAATTGAAGTAGAACTAGTCACCTGAAATGTCAGAAGCAAGTTCTAAAATAAACAAAATAATCAAACAATTGAAGTAGAACTAGTCACCTGAAATGTCAGAAGTAAGTTCTAAAATAAACAAAATAATCAAACAATTGAAGAAGAACTAGTCACCTGAAATGTCAGAAGCAAGTTCTAAAATAAACAAAATAATCAAACAATTGAAGTAGAACTAGTCACCTGAAATGTCAGAAGCAAGATCTAAAATAAACAAAATAATCAAACAATTGAAGTAGAACTAGTCACCTGAAATGTCAGAAGCAAGTTCTAAAATAAACAAAATAATCAAACAATTGAAGTAGAACTAGTCACCTGAAATGTCAGAAGCAAGTTCTAAAATAAACAAAATAATCAAACAATTGATTGAAGTAGAACTAGTCACCTGAAATGTCAGAAGCAAGTTCTAAAATAAACAAAATAATCAAACAATTGAAGTAGAACTAGTCACCTGAAATGTCAGAAGCAAGTTCTAAAATAAACAAAATAATCAAACAATTGAAGTAGAACTAGTCACCTGAAATGTCAGAAGCAAGTTCTAAAATAAACAAAATAATCAAACAATTGAAGTAGAACTAGTCACCTGAAATGTCAGAAGCAAGTTCTAAAATAAACAAAATAATCAAACAATTGATTGAAGTAGAACTAGTCACCTGAAATGTCAGAAGCAAGTTCTAAAATAAACAAAATAATCAAACAATTGAAGTAGAACTAGTCACCTGAAATGTCAGAAGCAAGTTCTAAAATAAACAAAATAATCAAACAATTGAAGTAGAACTAGTCACCTGAAATGTCAGAAGCAAGTTCTAAAATAAACAAAATAATCAAACAATTGAAGTAGAACTAGTCACCTGAAATGTCAGAAGCAAGTTCTAAAATAAACAAAATAATCAAACAATTGATTGAAGTAGAACTAGTCACCTGAAATGTCAGAAGCAAGTTTTAAAATAAACAAAATAATCAAACAATTGAAGTAGAACTAGTCACCTGAAATGTCAGAAGCAAGTTCTAAAATAAACAAAATAATCAAACAATTGAAGTAGAACTAGTCACCTGAAATGTCAGAAGCAAGTTCTAAAATAAACAAAATAATCAAACAATTGATTGAAGTTGGACTAGTCACCTGGTATGTCAGCGCCTCTATGGAATGACCACTCGCCGCACCTCTCGTCTGCTCGAGAGAAAGCTGGGTTGTCTCCCCCCTGGCGTCCACTGATGTGAAAAACTGACGAGCTGACCGATCTGCTGCTGGGGGGAAAAGTGGACATTGTAAATGTAGTAGTCATGTGACCCGTGGACACCTCATGTGACCCATGTGACCCGTGGACGTCATGTGACCCGTGGACGTCATGTGACCAGTGGACATGTCATGTGACCCCTGGACATGTCATGTGGCCCCTGGACATGTCATGTGACCCCTGGACATGTCATGTGACCCCTGGAATGTCATGTGACCCCTGGACATGTCATGTGACCCCTGGACATGTCATGTGACCCCTGGACATGTCATGTGACCCGTGGAAAATGAAAATAAAAACTCACCCTCTTGACCTGCATCTATTTTTAGATCTGGATGAGATGATGATGACCACCAAGATGAGGAGGGCGACGAGCAGGACTGCCCCCACCACCCAGACGATGACCAGCAGAGTACCCAAGTTCCCAGTGGAGTCTGGCGGGAAAACACGGGATGTTAGAATCTTTCTGCTGAGATACACGTCTGACTCGGGCTAATTTAAACTTCCCCTGGCTAGTAAAATCCGTTTGACCAGAGTGTGTTGAGACCGTTTGACCAGAGTGTGCTGAGACCGTTTGACCAGAGTGTGTTGAGACCGTTTGACCAAAGTGTGTTGAGACCGTTTGACCAGAGTGTGTTGTGACCGTTTGACCAGAGTGTGTTGTGACCGTTTGACCAGAGTGTGTTGTGACCGTTTGACCAGAGTGTGTTGAGACCGTTTGACCAGAGTGTGTTGAGACCGTTTGACCAGAGTGTGTTGAGACCGTTTGACCAGAGTGTGTTGAGGCCGTTTGACCAGAGTGTGTTGTGACCGTTTGACCAGAGTGTGTTGAGACCGTTTGACCAGAGTGTGTTGAGGCCGTTTGACCAGAGTGTGTTGAGACCGTTTGACCAGAGTGTGTTGAGACCGTTTGACCAGAGTGTGTTGAGACCGTTTGACCAGAGTGTGTTGAGGCCGTTTGACCAGAGTGTGTTGTGACCGTTTGACCAGAGTGTGTTGAAACAGTTTGACCAGAGTGTGTTGAGACCGTTTGACCAGAGTGTGTTGAGACCGTTTGACCCGAGTGTGTTGAGACCGTTTGACCAGAGTGTGTTGAGACCGTTTGACCAGAGTGTGTTGAGACTTACCGTCTGCTGGACATGCGGGAACAGTTGAGTTCCACTTGAGGTCAGGCATGCACTTGACCACGGCCAGTGTCACGTTGCGGCAGTAGACCGTGACCACCTGCCCAACGTTCCTCAGGACGTTGTCCACATTGTAGTTCTGGGGCGGGTCAACGGTGGGGGGTAGACTGTCACACATGGCAACTGTAAATAGATACATTCAGAGGTCATCTTACAGTCAAAGGTCATCTTACAATCAAAGGCCATCAGACAATCATAGGCCATGTTACAATCACAGGCCATCTTACAATCAAA